ACATTCCTCATGAAAAGGTAATTTACGGTAAAATTGTAATAAGTGGGAGAAATTCAGGCCACCTGGATGGCTGCTTGTTAATTTTAGAGAAAAACTTAAAGATTAACAGGGTTTCTGGTATACCACCCTTAGCTCCCTATCAACTCCCCTTTCCTCCTTATATATTCTACCGGGGGAAATTCCGAAAAGGGTTGATTGCCACTCTAGTTAGCTTTCATTATCGAATTGGGATGAAAGGTAAGGCCGGAAACCTTGATGTATAATATTCAATAGGAAAATTCGGGACCGATTAGTATTGAAATGATTGTCCCGATTTGGGAATGGAACAGGGATTTCTCGCAGTGATTAGAATAGGTCTAGGTGTCATTCTATTTGACTACCGGCACAACACTACCATAAATTTGCTCAACGTGTACAAAGAAATAAAAAAAACTTCTTGTTTAAAACAAAAATTTGGCTTTGTAGTGGCACTCATTCCTAATGCAAACTGGGTCTTGTCACAGCAAATGCACTACCGGTACCCCATCCGGCTATAATTCACGCTCCGCTTGCCTAAATTTTTGTAGAGTACTTGGTGACTTTCTCAATCACTCGTACTCACCCCTCAAGATAGTAAAAACTGGGGGGGAGTCATCTGCAGATATCCTCCAATATGATGCAATACATTAAGATATCTTCTGCTGGTGCAGCCTTGGGACAAACAAAGAGAAATCAAAAACATTCAAGCAAGCCCGAACCGTTGAGAGTGGTGTAGATGCTCAGAAATTCCAATATCGCCAGATTTACCCCTAGAATGTCGATAAATTACACATCCGTCGAAAACTGTTCTTTCATTACCGGGCTGTTTATCCCCCTACTCTTCAACCCCCCGCATCCCCTCCGCCACATGGTTCCTGCACCATATTTCTTCCCGATGATTCCACATCGCAAGCTGTCTCTGCCTCTTTCCTCGTCCACATGGCCATCCTGTTGGGCACAAGTGCTGAGGCAAGAATACAAGCATACACTCCCGATCTATTTTAAAACCTGCACCCAGGAGCTTTTCAACCCCGACTCCCATAGGAAATCTTGTTGAGGATCACATGTCACCTCTTTGTAATCACATGAATGCAGGCACTGTTGACACGTACACTAGCATTCCTTTCAATCTATGTTGATGCGTATGTGTCCCCAAAATCTGCATGATCATGGATGATCACTCACAAGCTTGAGATATAGTATCTAAGGTCCGCAGAGGGCACCCCCAAACAAAACCCCGGGCCGGACCGGCTGCTCGCCAATGCTGAGTAAAAGAAAGTCTATCAAAACCTCTCTGATAGCGCGAGAAGAGGCAACGTGAACCACGGCTCGACATGAGCGAGTGCGGTGCACGGCGTGGGTGGGGAAAAGAGATGATAGAAGGGGAAAAACTAAAACAGGAGTTGTATTTTCTCAATCCCCCAGTTGCCCTAGCTAGCAGAACTGTTTTGTGTCCAGGCAGCCGTCACTCCTCCGGAAAACAAAGCTGTTGTGTACCACGTTTACATCACATGACATCACTCGTTTAAATCCCCCCTACACCGCTCGTCCACCAAACAGGAGATTGGACTCGAACTCAAGTATAAGGGCCAACACACCGAAGCCAATCTAGGTGTCGAATTGGAGAAAATAATAAAATCAGGCTCCGCGTCCCCCATTTCCCCTCGGCCCCTTAGGGGCACTGTCTGGTAGGGGTCATACAAGAACAATAGGATGTTGTGGATGGTTCTAGAAACGACAGGAGCACGGTGTGCTGTGGCTTGTTCTAGAAACTTAATGAATTACGGAGAAATTTCTCTAGATATTTCTTTTGCGCGTACGGAGGGATAGGGACATTCTTGGAGGAATGTGGATGTGCAGAAGGATAGGATGGCATCGATTCTGCTTCGCATGTACACCTATCTTTTTTCCGTTGATTTGAGTGGAGGATAAGCAGGGCGAAAAGGTTTGGGACTATACCTTTCCCACACCCTGCCGAGGTCGTGAGCTATCTCTCCCACTCTGCAACTGCGTTATTTGTTACTCACCTCACCGCCATTCAAAAGTCTACCGATGACGATATCCCCGCTCCTGTGGTCTGTTCCTGTACATGATCGCTTGATTAGGGGGTAGAATTTAAGCTAGTATAAGCTGGCGGGAGCCACAATGGCCCCCGCCAGTTTCCATACAATGATGCGGGGAAGGAAATCCTACATTATAGGAGAAACCAGTATTTGAAAGGAACAGTAGGTGTCTGTAAAAATTTCCCCCCAGCACCACGAGAGGCAAGAAGATTCGCCAAGCGCCCTTCCGAGCCGCCCCTATCCGCACATCCCCTGGAATTCCGTATCAGGTAGGGGTTATTGAAAGTCATGGGTACTCACTTGTCGTTTGATTGTTCCGGAACTTGTTGGTCAACCTGTTTGGTGATGGCGGTTGGTGGCTTTGTATGTGAGTTTCACACTAGCAGAGATTTCTCCTGCTAGTACAGTTTTATTTCATGTTCAGTTTTAGAATACGGGAACGGTCTCTATCGGGGGTTTGGATACCTGCTGGTAGTGTTCGGCAGTCTTTCGGTAAGGCTCGGTACGCCGGTTACAGTGGATACGGGTGTGAGAACTTCTGTCCGAGCTGGACCTCGGAAGAGAAGGGAGATACCGGAAATGCTGGGAGGTCATGTTTTAGGATAAGGAGGATTTTTTTCACGGCATGTTGATAGGCATTCTGATTGTGGTTATGGGCATCATCGCTCTATATAAACCCCCCTTATTGCCCCATAGATAGGAAAAATGAGCAAGCAGAAAACGTCAAAATCCTCCCTCTATTTTTCCTCCATTCTCCTACAACACATATCCCGCATATCTTACAATAGGGGTCAACTACCGTAAATAGGCACTATCAGGACGGATTTACCCCACCCTTGGGTGGCATATTTGGCTGTGATGATAGCGGCTGAGGCACAACCAGATCTTCCACAACTTTCGCTGGCCCCAGGATTCTTATATGGTGCGCTAGGTCTCTGAAAAATTAATCGAAATAGAAAAAAATTGACGAATGGGGATTCCCTCTATCACCGGGGCGCGAGAAGTGGAAGCTAACAATCCCAGCCCATAATCCAGCCGCCCCGATCTGGCCTGACCTTCGGTCGCCCTCTGTTCGCCTAGTAATACACACAATTAGCGGCTTGGTATAGCCCTGTATTCAAACTCCCCTGCTCGAGAATACCCACCTTACTGTTCCCAACAAATACTCGTCCGATAAAGGTTAGAGTCCATAGGATTGAGCTGGAGCTAGCTCTAGGTATGATAATTCTATAGAGTTTGTATCTCGAAAAACTTCTCTGTTACGTGACGTCCGATCCCCTGCCGGTGTTGTACCGTACTAGTACTACCCCCTACTTAAGTATCCCGTCTCGGGCAAGAGGGGACACACCAGCTACTGCACCACCTCCTGCACCCGTCCTTCGCCCAGACTGGACGTTGTTAAGGCCGGATGATGTACCGGTATGAGATCAGCCCCGTTGACAACCCAATGGAATTCGAACGGGGGACGACAGGTGGGAAGGTTAGATGTTGGATTTGCTTGCCACATGGAGAGATATGGCGTGGGGGCGCTAAGAGATGGCGTTCTACGGAGGTACAAGTAAGGCGCCTAAGTTTTGTATGTCCCACAAGTGGGATTTGCTGACACTAGCCCCTGTGGGACATACAAAGCTTAGGAGCTATACCTCGGTAATGTACCGGTACCGCATACCGGCTCGTTAAGTACCGGTATCCGGTCGGAAGATTTAATATTACTTGTGACGCTTTTCCCCTTCCTTGCCTCGGGTACGGTTCGGATTTTTATACGCACATACCTTACCTGTATAATACGAGTATCTTTCCGTTTATGAGGGCCGGCTCCTCCGCTGTGCGTGTACCCTAGTACCTGTGCGGTATGAGTGCAGCATGACTGCGTCCGTGAAAGTCTCATACCCTTCCAAGCACCCCAGCTCTTGGGAACCACCGTAGCCCGCTGGCCCCTCCCTCGCCATTCAGGAAATGAGATTCCGATAAAAGTTCGCAATATCCCTAGATGAATGTCCTAAACGGTTGTTCGAAAGGCTCTCGCTGAAGTATATGAGAACTTTACGATCACGGCGGTTCGCGCACATACGGTACTAGTGTACTCGTACAGGTACCGAACTGAGAAGACATGAGTGCCCCCTACAACTGGAGCGCAATGTGTTTAAAACGCGCCCCAGTGGCGCCAAGCATTCGTCACCAGGGTCTGGACACGCTGATCAAACATGTGCCGCACATACCGCTGCATGGTTGCCGGACACCTAAAATCCTCAACCTGGCCCGTCTTGTTACCTGAGTACCAAAGCCCCGCCTCTGATCCAATACTCACCAAGAGAAAAACAAAGTTTTACAGAAATGCGGGGGAGTGCATATTGGGGAGTTCTACTTGTTTCTTTTGCCCCATCATGATTTTTTGGGATGTGTTCTGGCTTATTCGGGTGCCTACTTTCGGTTGTCTAGGGCATAATTTCAGACCTCTAGCACCGCTTAACCTCAAGGAGGCCATGTCTTGGCGAAAGACAGGGGTTTCGGGGGTGTCCGCTGAGGTGGTGATTGCACCCCAGGTTTTTTTTCCGCCGTAGAAGTACGAGTACCAGTTGGCTCCTATCGAGAGGAAACAGTAAGCGAGACTAGGGGGTAAAAAAATCGGGCCAATTAGCGGAGGCATAACCGGTGGACGAGTGAGTGTCTATGAATGCGGTGGGGTATTGGTATTTCATATTATGATAGCATAGGCTGGGTTTTGATAGGTCTGGGGGTTGGACAATATACTCTGTAGCTCCGTAGATAATTGTACCTATAAGTACGCTTGGTCACGATGCTTTGAGGTTACGGCTTTGTAAAGGGGGGGTGAAAGCGGATAAGCTACCGCAATCAGGAACCAAAAGGCCCCCGTCGATTAGCAGAGCGGTTTCATTTTCATGTTAAACACCCTCTTAGATGGAGTGGAGCGCGGGTATATCAGGGCTTGTGGATGCCTTTTCTTCCATGGATGGTGTGCTTCTGAACTTTGCGCTTCTCTGTTACCTCTACATCCACTACTTCTAATACCGTGAAATTTGTCTAGAGCGGAATTTTTATTTTTTATCGAGGATAGAACTCCTCACGCCAAAGCTGGCATTTCTACCCCCCGGGGTGGCTACTACCACGACATGGGGTGGAGTCGGCGGAGATATTTCTTCAGTATTTCCGTCATTATCGGGAATTTCGCCTCCTCCGCTGCCGGATAGGTATGCTGAACTAAGGGGACGGTTTACGGCAGGACGGGAAAAGATCCTGACAGAATTCTGGGAGAGGCTATTGCCCGATCTTGAGAAGGAGACGGCCGTGGCGAAGATTTTTGGGGGTGGTGTTTGTCCCTCTTTATTCCACATATTCTGAGCTTTCCTTCAGTAGAGTGGGGGGGTTTGCTAACGGGTTGATAGATTATTCTACAAGTCGAATTCAAAGACCTGGGCAGTCTCCCCAAGGAGAAAACGGCAGTGATTACGAAACGAGGTGCTGTGGTTCTTAAGAATGTCCTCCCAGACAACGAAGCTCTAGGGATGAAGGAGTCTTTGAAGGCACATATTCGCCGCAATACTTGCGCGCAAGGTTTCTCCCCTCCACGGATACATCACTATTGAACGCTAAAAAGTGCAGCCTCCCCTGCAAACTCACCGGCGGTCTACGAATTATACTGGTCCCCGGCTTAGCGTGCCGCGAGAGCCCATCCGTCTCCAGTGGTATCCCAGCGTTTTGTGAACTCCTTCTGGCATTCTTCTCTCCCGTCGTCCGTGGCGGACACCTCCGTGTCCCTACCCTACGCCGACCGCTTTCGCATCTGCTAGCCGGGCGATGCAGGATTTGCTCTCGGGACGCACATTGACGGTGGCAGTGAAGAGTATGATCCGTGTAACTCAGATCACAGAGTTAGTGCAAAGATGGGTATGTACGGTGGAGCCGGCAGCTGCGGAGTCTGGAGGGTGAGGGCAAGGTTGGGTATGCCCCCTAAGCACGAGTACGACCACAAGTATATCTTGCTAGGCCATTTACAACCCAAATCGCTTAACTTATAATATATTTATACCACTCACTGTAAACGAGACATCCGATAAATATTGGTGTGAAAAAAAAAACTAAGGGAATAAGAAAAGAACGTCCACAATCATCTGAAGAAAAATGGACAGAAGAAATAGAAGGAATGGTCATAACCATGAGAAGAAAAAGCAGCACCAACCATCCGCTGACCCAATCTCCGACTCTAGGAGGCCGCAGACATTAATTTTCAAACAAACTCATAATTAACGCCCCTCCCATTCTCCTCACGAAGCTTATCAACGACCCGCTCGATGCAGTACTATCAACGGGCTGCGGATAATTTTTGAGTTCGTTCGGGGGATTTGATCCGGTTTAAGGCTTTGCGAAGTCGATGACGTGAAAAAGGTTGAAGCAAACGTAACCCTCCACTCCTCTAATGCCGTGACATCTCTCCGCAACGATCTCTTCAGGAAAAGAACGAACATTATCGTCTTCATGAAGGTCCACCTCTTTATGCCCACCACCTTTTCGAGATTTCTGTAGGCAGTGTGCAAGCAGAACTCCAGTTGGTGGAGAAGATCCACCATGCGTCTTCTGAGGGTATCAGGAACTGCATCCGAGGAATTCTGAATCGTCCTTAATTGATGTGCAATGTGTGTCCAGGCATTCTCCACTCGAGCACATAGGTCGTTTACATCTCTGTGTGCGGCTCGGATCGTGTTGTATTGCCCACAAATATTCTCACCGGCTCTGGATACATTAGTAAATTTCGGACTTTCCTTTGACACTAGGACTCACCGGAGGCAAACATCTGCGGTACCCAGGATCCCAAGTGTTAACCTAACGTCCATGATGATAGTGGGTGCGTATTCGGGCTGTCCTATGGCTGTGCAGGCGGCGAGAGATCACTCTTAGGGGAACTTTATATTTGGGTGCAACTTTGAAGGAGGTAAGAAATATGGACAAAAAGGAAGGGAAGCGGAAATTCTCAGATTTATCTTACTATCACAGGGCCATCCGTATGGGCATCCCAATCACCCCCCATTCGCTCACTTCCCTGCGTCACATAGGGTGCGGGGAATGAATATGATTGACTAGTTATAGTCCTTGTTGTCGATTCGTGATTGGATTGTTGATTGAGTTCGGCCTGCAGAACACTGGCAACGTACTCTCAGTCAGGATGTTTGTTCGGATACCATAATTGATAGTCAAACGATATCATGCACCTACCGGTAAGTGCAAAAGGAAAACGGGCTCTCATTTAGCTGTGAGAGCGCCGGAGGGACGAAGCAGGCAACATCCAACCGAACTCAGGTATGCCAACTCCGAACTCGTCCTAGTCGACAACCGCAACTCCAAGCCCAAAAGCCTCCTCAAAGGGTTGCTTACAGTCGCATAGGGAATCAACCTACAGGTGGATTTAGAGGAGTTTCCACCTGTTGGGGCGCGGGGCGGTGCAAGGTCTTGTTTTTCCCACACGAGAGTAGCACTTCCTAGTCTTCTAACCTCACCAAGTAATATCTTGTGCACACTACACCCAATGAGGTAATAAGTTCACCGATATTTGCTGCATATGGCCGATGCGACATCACAGAGGAAAGTATTTTTCCTGCTTAATAAGCGACCTTGGGCTGGTAAAGGGGTGCCGGTTCGCTGTGCCGCGCCCCATCGCATCGCCGGGAGAATCGAGGTGATACATTCATAGATTGCCATTCGGGGAAAGGCCGGAAGAGTAGGAAAAATCCCCGTTCCTCGTCGGAGGGTTGCACCTGTATTTTCTGTTGAATCTCGGTATGATTTTGGGTATATGGATGGCACATCGAAGGGTCCTCAAAGCATACGGGTATTTGTCATGGATTTTTTTTCTTTAGCGAGTTTTATCAAATCTGGCAATTGGTAAGTCAGAGCTCGAGAATTCGCTGTATATCTGATTCTTCAGGGCGAAACTTTCTGTACGGCCCCCCCGTGGACCCTGTTGCACGGTCAGGCTCCAAAGGAGAGAAAACCGTGCGGAGAGAACATGGCAGAGAAGGTGGCTGGCCCACTTGCAGCTTTCATCATATGATACCGGTACCAGTACCCGCAGGAGGGTTGCGGGAAGTTGAAATTACCGTTGGTGTGCGGAAGATCCCGAGGCTGATAAAACCCTAAAGGAAAAACAAAACAAGAGAAATATCATAAGCAAAAACAAATCGTAATACTAAATTTACCACGGCGTACCCATACCCGAGTACCTTACACTGGGTTCGACAGTTAATTGTTTCCATCAGAAAACTTCCTTGAACCATCACCCTCCTTGACAGGCTCATGATCTGATTTGTGTACCACCCATGCATGGAAACTCCACCCCAGATGAGGGAAAGCGAACATGGTTCGGGGAGCCAAAACGCAGCCAAACTCTTTTTATGAGTAAACTCTTATTCTTATTTCCTCTTCCCACTCTTTGGACCTAGGATCAATATCAAAGGTAGCCACGCCCTAAGCACGTCGGAGCAGCATCCGGGACCCTCCATTCCTAATTCCCGGTAACTCTATTCCACAGCAATCCCATGAAGCCGGGTCACGGCAAGCCTGCGGGAGGTCATGAAACGCGAGCGAGATCTACCGTACTCGAGTACGAGATACACGGGAGGTCGCCCCGATCGTTATCCCTTAACCCGTTTTCAAACACTGGGGCTAAGGCAGTACTAGCAGAGAAGCAGGAGCAGCAACCGAGGATGTAGCTGTAAAGAGCATTAGTATTTCTTGGGGTGCGGGGGCGTAGGCGGGATTAGATTTACATAGACCCTCCTGCTTCTGTCATGGCCATGCTGATTTTTACGAACTTCGCTACATTCTGAGCACTACTCCACTTGGGATCCGCAGAGTGTTTCCTATCACAATTACTCAAATAGACTACCGGTGTAGGGGGTGGTGGTAGTATAGGATAGTTTGGCAGTCACAGGGGGAGGTTTGCACGCACAATGGTTGCACAGTAGTACATAGCTTGGCATGCACAACTTTTCGGGTATTTGGAGGTAGGACTTTTCATGTTTGCGTGGTAGAT